TTTGAGTCAGTTTTTGACTCCTGGTGACTGCCTGGACTAGTCCCTGCAGTTTTCTTGGCAAAGTTTTTTGGAAGTGGTTTGCCATTGCCTCCCTCCTTGGGCTGAGAGAGAGTGACTAGTCCAAGGTCACCCAGACGGTCCTAGAACTCAGGTTTTCAGGTTTCTAGCCTGATGCCTTAACTACTACACCAAAATTCTTCAGATGAGTGCAGTGAGTAGTGATCTATACCTTGTTCTGCTCAGTTTGTAGAATTATGTAGAATTATGCTCCTTCTCTTAAAGAACCAAGTCTGTAACTCTTAAATGATATGCAGCCCTCTTACCCCCATGATTAAAGTACAGTGTACCTAGTCTTTTGTAACTTAAAATAATTATTAAATAGATGACAACAAACCAGTCACAATGCAGCAGTATAATCAGAATAACTGGCAACAAATATAGACATTTCTCATCCCAAGCATGCCAAAAAAAAATTGTTTCACATTGTTCATCTAAATTCAGTCACTTGGGAGAGAAAGTTAAGAAAGTTTTCTTAATGGAAAAGCCTCCATCTTGCATTTCTGTCAACTGGATGTTTTTGAGGGTGGATTGATGGCAACTGTTCTGACAGGAAAGGTTATGTAGAACAATTGCTATCACACAAGGCCTGGCAAACTTTGGGTGGAAAAGCTGACACATTTTTGGGGGGGCAGCAGGCTGCAAAATGTGGTAGGGCCACATCAGGCATGATGGTTTGCAGTAAACTGGAGAGGCCCAGAGAGGGCTCTAAAAATTGTGAAAAAGGGACTTTTAAAAAAAACTTTACCTTTATTTAATAAATTAGAACAAAGGAAAAAAATCAGCAACAAAAGAAAAAAGGCAATACATATATATGCATAAGAACTTCTAATACATATACATACAAATGTGTGTGTGCATGTATGTATTTTACGTACCAGTTTCAATAAAGATTGACCATATTTCATTTTAACTGTCCACACTTATGTAATAGTTACGTAGTGCAAAAAATTGATGTCTGACAATGTTAAATGTTTCCTCCCAGAACATAATACTTATAGGACATTGCAAAAATATGTCTTAATGAAGTTATTCTCCCTGTATCGCCAACAACACAATTTACCCTGTGTTTATCTATAGAAACAACGTAGAGAATATCCAGTCTTTAATAATTATAAATGAAGCCTTAAGTAAAGAAATAATAAAAAGCAAGCTATATGCACCTGTGGTAAAGGTGTAATCTGGACAGGTAAATGGCATGACAATGCCTTTAAAATGGAGTATGTGTGAATAGGAGATAATTCCAGAGGGTAGGAAGCTGGCAGTCCCCATTCAGTGGTCAGTTTACCATTCCCTTGGTGGCAGCAATAAACCCTGAGGGCAAGCAACTGGCAGTGCCCAGTTGGGTAGAAGACTACTAATCCCTAGGTGGCAGTGATAGTCCAAAAGTCAGAAAATTGATGGTCCCAATTAATGGGTTGAAGAGTATCAGTCTCTCTTTAGAGATTCCTGAGACAGAAGGCAATTCATGGCTCCCAGCAGAGGGCAGAAAATTGTCAATTCCTCAAGGAAGTTTATACAGCTGTTCCAGAAAATTGGCACCAAGATGAAAACAACTGCTTTTTGCTATCCTCTGTCATTTCACAAAATTGGGGTATCACCAGCAGCTTCATCCAGGAGGATCTCCTCAGATGGATCAACTCTGGTTGCAGCAGGTAGCCCTGTAGGTACCTTGTTGCCAAACCATATAGGGCTTTATCCATAAAAGCCAGCACTTTGAATTTCACCTGGAAACTACTGGTAACCAACACAGGGCCCTTTTGCAATACGATTGTAGCAACAAGTGCCAAGCAACAAGCAGGTTGCTGCATTTTGAACCATTTCATTTCCATATGGTCCTCAGAGGCAGTCCCTCTATAAAGGAAACATGGGCCCGGGCTTCAGAATCATCAGCTTCTCGTGGACAGAAGGTTTCACTGATCGGTATGATTTTGTATCTTATTGAGGGAAGAATATTAAAACACAAAAGGATGAATACCTGTGGTATTTTGAGGTAAATTGTTTAGGTTGTTGATTATGTAACCAACTTCCAGCTACCAAACTAGCAAAGAGCCTACACTAACCTTGCATGTTCATATGTATAAGTTTCTGCTTCAATGTTTTTCCAACTCAGTCACATCCCATTCCTATCAGCAACTGGGAGAAAATCTACACTGCTGCAGTTTCTGCTCTACCTTCTGCTTCCAAGGAGCGTAGAAAGAATCCACCAATATTAATTGGTTCAGATCTTGGGATGAAGAATTCAGCTTTAGCCAAACATTAAATACATTCATCCACACCCCAGATTCAACCTTTATTAGGCCCATCTCTACATGGAGTGCTGCATTGGACTCACAGTTCAGTTCTTGGAAGCGTTTCCTCAGAAACATTGACCAAGTAGTCTCATCTCAGCTGGAATATAATGTGCTCCCCTCATGGAAGATAAAATAACTGAAATGCTTCTTTGAGCTTTCTGGGCTATATGTAGATGGGCTTTCCAATTCTCAGATGAATGGAGCATCATCCATAGTTAAAATAAGCCACCTGCTCAAGTTTATACCCATTAACAATCCTGTTAATTATCCTGACCTTTGTTGTGTTATAGTTTTTAACTGGTGCTCCTTGTGGAAGAGAAAGATTAAAGTGCTTTCACTGTTGCCAATCAGTGTTAGCAACACAATCACAGTATCAACTGCATACAATACTACTGCTATATGCCTGCCTGTAATATTTGAGGGGTGGAATTCTGTTTGTGACATAATTAACCATGGAGATAATGGGGCAATAATGCAGCCTTATTAGTTCTTATGGTATGGCCTGGATCAACAAGCTGAACTGCCACATTATCTCTTACTTTGCAGTTGGAATGTTCATACATCATATAGATTAAGAATGAGCAGGTATTGATCAGTTGTTGTGTCTCTAAATTTTCCTGTAATTTGGATCTAGAGATACAATATTTCTCTATTTTTAAATTTTATTTCCTGCTTTTTTAAAGCTGCTTTGCTTTTTTCCTGGCTTCATGCTTTTTTAAAGTTGCTGAATGGCATCTCTGGCCAATAGGCTTAGAAGAACAAAGCAGAACAGAATGCCACCAGATGGCAGCAAAGTACAATGATTCTCTTGCAAAGAACACCAGGAGGAAGAGGGCTTAGAGATGCAACCTTGAATATAACAACTTTTTCTAACAAAAAAGTAAAAGAAAACATCCAGGTTTTACCTGACCATAAATTACGATTTTAAATAAATTGATCAAAGTAAAAAAACAAAACAAAACACTCTTTTTAATTGATTTCAGTGAGCCGTCAAAAAATTAACCATAATTTATAATTGGTATTACACACCATTAAAATTGTATAAACTGTAATCTTTTGAGATGCTGTTGATGGGAATAGTAAGCAAATGGTCACAAACTGCCAATATGTAGAGGCAGCATCCAATTAATACTTTTGGCTGAAAGTTTTTGAACAAATAAAAAAAATCACCTATCTAAAGAATCCTACTGCTGGTTTACTCTCCATTCTTTCTAACATATACATAAATATAAGCAATAATTTTAATTTGTTAGTACTAGTACAGTGTTATTGGAAAACACTGGGAAAATTAAAAAAACACGTTACTGGGTTAATTTGAAAGTACAGGAAATTGCTTTGTCTTTAAAAATGATACTACAAACAGCTTTGAAAAATTCTGTAATGCAGGGTAACTGTATTCTCATCGATACAAATCTTCTGGACAGAAACATTGATATAAATGTTTAAAATGTTTATATTTCTCTTTAAGATCACATAGGTGTCTATAAATGCACATTCACTATCTGTACAGTCCTATAGGATATTTTTGCTGTTTTTTCCCCTTTCTAAATATATTTGTTGTTTCATATTGCAAGAAAACTTTGCTTCAGCAGGATTTAAGTAGGTGAGGCGGTGTGTGACAAGTTTCTTCTCCCATGATTCTGCTCATGATCATTGTCTCGCTGTTGGCTTCTCCCTCCAGCTCACTGGTTTCCCACAGTTAACAGCAATGGCTTTGAGGGCAGTCATTGAAAAGGCAGGAGTAAAGGTGCTTATAATTAGAATGTGCTTATAATTAGAAGCAGTTTTGCAATCAGAAAAAGGAACATTGATCCTTATTGTGGAGATTTCTTTTCTGACTGAAATGTAAACTGTATATCCACAAGAAATCCTTCTCATTCTGTGGTTGCTTCCCTTTCTCACATCCTTAGTGCTACACCCTACAGTTTTCACAAACTTATTCACATAACATGCTTGAGTAATATGAGGAGGGGGTGACATGTAATGCACTTTTCAAAACTGAGCTAATTGACCAAACCAAGCTAACACTGCCCTCACCCAGCCAGCTACTTCCTCCTAGGTCATGCAAGCTATTTACTTGAGGCTTAACTTCCCCCTTCTAGAGTGGCTCTACAAAAAAAAAAAAAAAGACTGCCAGCCTATACTTGTGAAAGTATTGGCTACAGGGGGGCACCACTGGGGCTTCTGTGTAACATAAACAGGGGCAGTATAAATGTTATTTAGGTTAGGGGTAATACGGTGGGGGTTTGTAGATCTCAA